AATTAAAGACCAGTACTTGGTGACATTCCTTACTTTACAGTCTCAGCTGTAAATCTCCTCAGATTCATTTTTAAGCTTAACTAAACACTGCAGTTGGATACATTTCCAATTACCTCTCACTTTCACAGAGGTTACGAAAGAATAACTTTTTCAATTTTGTGTCTTTGCACAAGGCGACAGAAGGATGCCTGAACATTTCTGACACACCACAAGTCAAAAGATGACAACCTTGCCTTAAGAAGGGTCACAGTCTCATGCTGTAATCACACAGACCTTGGCCTCTTAGATTCTTACGAAGAACTCATTTGTCACTATTCATCACTGCAGCTAAATTGCTTTGAAAAAGAGCATGTAGAACAAATAATACATTCTATCCCTTGGTTCTTGCCCACCATAGGCCTTGGCTTACAGCTGAACTTTTACAAAGAAAATGAGGAAACATACGGCTATAAAGCCAGTTTTATTTCCTATGAAAATGGCAGCTTCTTGAGTTTCCTTATTTGTGTTATATTTTGTGGCTTTAAATGTACTGTGGAGGGGAAGATGACAGGAAGAGGAAATGTAGGTGTTTTTAATTAAGCTGTAAAACTGATTTTGCTCTCAAGTAACTTAATTCCTTCCTACAACCCTCGCTGTCTCAGAACGCTAATTTCACAGTAAAAAAAGCATGACTCATCACACATATGCACGCATAATCAAACTCAGTTTCATTCTCACAGCTTAATAAACCATTATTTACCAAATGAGTGTGGTAACTGATCAAAAGCACACGGTCAAGCCATCCTAATTATGGAATAAACCAGACAACTTGAGGCTTAATGAAAGCAGCAGAACGTTAGAAATGAGTCAGCAACCGAGATGAGCTATGAAGGCACACAATCATTACAGTGACTGGGCTGACAAGCACTGACTTCTTAACTGTGCTAACTTGAATGTGTGATCAAGTACTTACACATCTTTGATAAACTTGATAAAACAAAGATGATGCCGGTTGTCATGTGTTCATCCATTGTGAGCAACATATATCCTCTGTAAATATTCAGTCTTTTAAATACATCATGGACTCCAGGCATAACGACATCATAGCCAAAATTTCTATCCTTTTACTCTTCAAGGGAAACTATAATTTATTGTTCTGAGCCTAGAAGGGCTAACATACGTATTCTATAATTGATACACGCAATTAAGCTTTGGTGTATCTCCTATTTCAACTCCAGAACAAACAACAAGTTTTCCTATTAATTTTGCAGTGCCACAAACTCAAACAATATCTGCAGACAAATTTTGCTCTGTATCATCAATGAAACTTAGGTACACTGCAGTTAGGTACCAGTAACACAGAGACCTGATGTACGAAGAACATCAGCAGTATACTCCTAAAGCATGAGCTAAGCTTGTTTTAAGGAGAGGCGATAAGATTCTTGACATTTTTGGGCTGATAAGCTGCTCAAAAGTATATGCCTTTTGTATTGATATAACAACGCTGGAAAGCTATTCAACCAGCTAGATAAACCAGCAGCTATGACTATGGTTGCATGCACTGAGAAAGCCCAGTTAATCCAATTCTCAAGGCACTATGAGAAAAACAGACATAGAAGACCATTTGGGTATGTTAAATTGCCATGAATTTGTAGGATATAAATGAAAAGAGTTGAAACGAAGGGATGAAATTCAGGTGAAGCAGCAGCTTATGGTTGAGAATGATGCATATGTATGAGATGCAGAGGACTGCATGCCAGAGATTATTTTGACTGAGGAAAGGGGTAGATAGCAGAAGTGACTGAGGAAAAAGGGTGTATAGCATACTGGATAATGAAACATCACATAGCTGAAGGTTCATGGAAGGATATGCAAGAAGTAATGGAAATATGAGTAAACATGAAGAAATGGTAACATAACCAACTTGAATAACCAAGTAGGGCATCGAAGTTTAAATGTTGCAAGCAGTGTACCTGAAACAAGCTTTTCAAGACTTGTATGCACAGAAATATTCAAGAAACCCAGTCTACTATCATTTCCCATAACCAAGGAGTTCAGATACATTAATTTTATCAGTGCGACAGAAGAAACAATAAGGAAAACCCTCTTAAAGTTAAATAAAGAGTGAAAGAAATTAATATCATAAAAACAAACGGTAGGAGAATGAGTAAAAAGGAGTGTTCCCTCTGGCATTTAGATGACGCTGAACACAGCACAAAAGAATAGTAATGGTTCAGAACAAGCAGTAAGAGCTGAAAGTAGAAGTTGCTTGTGTAAATGCAGCTCCTAAAGAAGACACACAGGACTGGGAAAAGGATGAGTGAATTTGTTGCTGCAATGCATACAAAGACTCCAAATCTTACTTAAGGCACTTCACAGCGCTGATGCAATATGAGAAAAATTGGTATGCCAAGAAAGCCAATCTAGGACTTGCTAGAGCAACACAACAAAAAGAAAGATAAGAGGTGATGGCAAGTGTGGAGAAACAAGTAGTTTGAGAGGAAAACTACAATCAAGGGAAATACTGTACCACACTGGGTAAACTGCACCGTGGAGGTTAAGCACATTTAGATTATACAACTGGCGGAGTACAAAGCAAAGGGAAATGCAAAGACAGATTGGAGAAAAACAGTACTACCACAGATCCGGTGAAGGGACTGACAAAAGTATAATGTTAGATGCTTCAAACTAGAAGGCAGAACATGGAGGTAAAGAAACACAGATGTAGAAGCTCTCCATGGAAACTGAACTCACACTTATCAAAAAAGGCTGAAGAGTAGATTATTTCCTGACTGAAATGTTAAGGAAAGATACAGCAGAAAAATGACTGATGACAGTCCAACTGACAAGGCTACTTAGATGAAGACATAAGAATACAGTATAGGCAAGATAAGAAGGTATATATCTAAAACAGTTATACAACCCCCCTCACTATCAACCTGGATCATACAGAATCTTAATGGACTCATTCTTCCAATAACATTTATATATAAGGCAATAATATTACCACATTATAGAAATGGGGACCTAAGCAACTTGCTCACAGCCAAAGAGTAATTTTATGATTGAGCGGAGAACTGAGTTTAGGTCTCTCAAGTATTACATCATCCTTTTCCTGTAGAACCAAATCAAACTGTAGGATACTCCTCCACCGTATTATAATAGGATATGTGAAGCTTTGGAAGATGAACAGAGATTTTGTTTTGAAGACACAAAGGAAGAGAGGCATAGAAAATTTAATTTCATCAGGACAAAAACTACTAAAATTAAGTTTACTGAGGGCCAGTATCTGACAGTGATGAGAATGAAGACAAAGGAAATGACAGAAAGACAGACAGCTTATTGGACCAGAGAAAAAACACAAACTATGAGCGTAAATAAGTTGCTGGGATATTGAAAGTGAGGGGAGTGAGGAAAACAGACTGACTACTTAAATATTAAAATTAAGCAATTTACAGCAGATTGAGAAGGTGAAAGCAAGAAAGCAACAAATCTCAAGAATTAAACATGGAAAACCAGACCAACCTGCTAATGAAAAAATCAGGAACTGAATATTCAAAAAAAGAAGTAATAGAAGTACATCAAACAATGTGCAGGTAAGTAGTCAAGTGAAAGAGAGACAGAACATTTTGTCAGACATCAGAAAAAAGGTGGCCACTTGCAATAAAACTTCAAGTAGAAAGCACAGGGGAGGGAATAGGGTCAACTTTTCCATTCTCACACTTGAACAGTAGTACAGGCAGAGACCCACTAAGCATGGAATGGTAAACGTACACAACATTCATCAGACTCCTAATGACTAACAGAAAAATGCATGTATATGGAAGAAGATTCCCTGTAGCTGTAGGGCATATTAGAATAGTTAAGTGTTTTCAGCTGTACCTAAATCATTCACGAAAGGCTAAGAAACTTCTAGGAGAAGAGATACTTTCATGGGTCTCTGCTGAAAGCTCCAGAACCTTAGCAACAACAAAATTAGCTTCCTAAATAAAAAGGCAGAACCTCTCTCAGAACCTTTCTTATACAGAAGCAGACTTCTGCACTGGGAACCTAAGATAAAATGTAGGCATATTAGTATCTTTACTCTCAGTCTACAGGACAGCACTATGAAGCTACATGAAAGAAACCCAGGAGTTTTAACAACTGCACTATTTATTGGCACTTCCTTTTAAACATTATTTAAAATATGTCCTTTTATTTAGTTTCTAACCAATCAGTATAGATCAACAGTGCTGGAAAACTAGAAGTGAAAATTCTAGGAATAAATGTGTGTGTACTTATGACTCTGCACTGCAAATGAGATAAGGAAAATGCAAGTAAGGAGAGGAGAAGAGAGATGTCACTATCCTTACAAATTATTTTGCAACAAACGTAATACCTTGCAAAAGGATCTATTCCAACAAGTAGTAAAAATGAGATAATGAAAGCTCTGCAATGTATCTTCCCCCTTCCTCTCTCCCATCCTTAACTGTTAACTTTTGCTAATATAAACTACATTTATTACCCTTGTAATCAAACACCTCTCTGCTATCAAACACACTGCATGTACTGCACCACTGTAAGAAGCTTTAAGTATAAAGCATGTTCAGGTAGGACATCAGTTCATTCCTAATGTTAACACATTAAGGCAGAGAAGAGGGCTGTGATCAGGCAAGATCTTCCATGAATGAAACCTTTCCTATAGAAAAAAAGAGACATGTAAATTAAGCTGTCCCATAGTTGTATATTTGATTCACAATGATGTTCCTCACTGTAGCATTCAAAATATTGCATCTAAAGAAAAAAACAAGAACAGAAAACACAAATAATACATAGTTAAATCTGGTGCCAAGGGCAGACATTCCATTTAGGCTTACAGTACCAGTTAAATATTACTGCCTGACATTTACTATAGTTATTGTTTTTTTCTCTTTTGCTGAAGTAGAAAGAAATAAAAACCAGACGTTTAAGAAGTAAAATAAACATTGTATATTGGCACAGTGATAATTATTAGTAACTTTTCCAGAATTATTTACACTTACATTTCCAGACTGCCCACTGCTATTTGTAATGCTGTTTGTGGAGTTAAGACTGCAGCTCCATTCATTTGCAATTCCTACGCTGTCTGTTGAAAACAGGTGAGCGCCTGGCTTTGATTGACAACCAGTTTGCAGTATGACTACATTCATGGTGTCCTCTGTTGAAGGAATCCCCAACAAATTACACACAGATTTGATACTTAGCTGTGTGAATTTAACAATTACATACCTAGTACCAAACACAGCACCTGTCACATGGAAACATCAATCACACACAAGAAATCTCTCTTTCTTCAAATATAAGCATAAAGGCAAAGTAAGAATAATATAATTAACCATTATGTATTTGTGGCTACTAACAAATGTGATACTCTTATTTACTTGCTCCATCAAAAACTGGTGGGAGGTAAATCAAAATTCGTATGTTTAAAGTATTCAAGATTTTGCTTTATTTTCCAGAATATCTATCACACAAGGGTTTAAACACAGCATTTTTAGAACTCCCGACTGGAAAGGTAACAATGGCATCTGTTTTCTTTTTTCAGTCTAGAACCAACTGACTTAATCATAAAACAGTTTGAAGAGAATATGGGACTAGATTTAGACTTCTAGTTTTACAGGCACATGATGAGTTAACAAAAAATATTTACTTTAGTAAGTAATTACAGTTAATAACATTCCTCACCTCATAACGCATGCACACAAGACATCAAAGTAAGGAAGTCAGGACTTAAACCAAAATCGCTTAATAAATTGTACAGGTACAGCAAGAATTTTTTCATCTCTAGCCACTACTGCATTTCTGAAGGGCCAATGACAAACTAGAGTTAAAAATAAAATTTAAACATTTCTCTCTACTAGAAACAATAAGTAGCTCTGACAGAGTGTACAAAAGTACAAGCCATTGTGGAAAACAGAATGAGTACGAGGTATGTAGACATCTATCTTCACTGGAGATAGCACAGCTGAGGATTGTTTCTAATGATGTGGGGGTCTAAAATCTAGCATTTGACTTATCACAACTCCATGGATTTCTTAGTATACAGTCCAATGCTTTACCAAATACTTCCACTATTGTATAAATTACAAAAATAGGGATGTGGCTTACAAAAGAGAAAGGAAAAAGCTACTAGTAAGTACTGCTATACACACAAGTCCAGTCCAGCCACACCCAAAAAAAAACCAAAAAAAAAAAAAAGGAAAAAGAAACCATAGGGATTGCAAAGATGATGTCACTAGACCCCTGCTGTTCCTCCTACAGAATGAGAGTGCAAAGAACAATTGGGAAGACAAAAAAAGATGCGCTGACTTTTTGTCATTTACTCTCACTTCAATTACATATCATGTCATTGCACAGCTGCTTGCCCAGAGCACGTCCAGTCAGCCATCTCATGTCCGGTCAACCCTCACACTGTCATAGGAAAAGCACCACCTGATTCATGCTCTCTCTTAAATCTTTATTAGCTTTTTTTCCCTGACACAACCACATACTTGTCCAATATTCTATAAATGAGTGTAAGTAGTCATATTACACTAAAAGGGTAGTATAAGACTGGTTTTCAAACATTTCACAGAGAAATAATTTCTCCTTTCTCTTTTCAATGTATTTAGGGAGAATAACATGATTAGTTCTTGCTATTTTGCTTATTGATGGTAAGGCAGACAGACACATTAAATTCAGAATGTGTGCTTCTACACCATTCGAATTTCTTCCAAGAGTGAACATCATAGTTTGTGGCCAGCTGCACAAAAGTTACAAATTCTACAGTGTAACCCTTTCCCAGTCTAACCATATTTTCTCAAAGACCTATAGCTGTCGTATGTGTTTGCAACCCACAGAAAAGCAAGTATCACATGGTGGCCTATCTTACAGCGCTCACTGAAGCTCAGGGAGCTTAGGATAGGGCCCTCAAAAAGAACTTTTTAATGCCAGTGCAGTGGCGCTTCAGGGATCATGTATCAGTAGCCTAGGATGTTATGCATAGGACTGTTCTCTTTATGAGATACAACTTTTTCAGCTATATAGCCTCCTTAGAATTTGCACTAACACGGCTTGAGTATTATGAATATGAGAATTACCATGGTCAGGCCAGGCCTGGCCTGGGGAATTTCATCTTTCATGAAGTCAGAAGTAAGTTTTTTCATTATTGCAATCTCAGAACCAATAGACGAGACCAGTCTTGGATGAACAATATGAAGGCAAATGCCTTCAGTAACAGAAGCTGTTATACAGATGTGTTCTTTGAAGTGTTTCCAAATTCTTGCTGGCAGAATTTCAGTCTGCCTGTGTTTGTTTTAAAAAAAAAAAAAAAAAAAAAAATCTATTTTTTGTTAAGGTGCCAGTTGTAGTCATGCAGTCAGTAGACAAATTAGTGCTACAGGGAGGTGTTCATTATTTTAAGAGAGTCCATTACTGAAGTGTCCCAACATACCCTAGCTACTTTCTGTTTTGCAAAGTGTGTCAGGGAGATATGTCAGATCCCAGTACTTCTCAGGATCAGGTGCCCTCCCTCCCATCACTGCAAAGTGTCTTTGGAACTACACTGGACCTAGGGCTTCAGCCAGTGGGGGAAAAAAAACAATGAGTGACATTTATAAGACAACACTGTCTGCAGTCAGAGCCTCAAGGGAAAAACTGTCTTGGAGGAACAGTATTATTGCTCATGATCTTCACAAAGGAGGGAAAAAAGGGTCAGCTGGTTCTGAGGAAGTCACTGAGGGAAGACCAGGAACACTGTTATAGTGTATGTGTGCTTCCACAAATTGTTTCACACAGAATGATAAAAATTGCTGAGATACACGTATGAATGGTGGGAGATCTTCCTCTATCCATTCCACGTAGCTAGGCCTTCACTGAAGTTAGGTGGAGAACAAACACCCATGATTTGTGATTCAAAGAGATTAATGAACCAAGAGTTTCATGCTTTTCATACCGATCATAAGTTCTACAGCTCCGAAACCATTTTCTCCCCCTTCCTTAATACAGAATAGACAGAAATAATTTTATTCCACAGAAATAAGAGTCAGAATGTCAGAGCTGCTGAACTAAGCTTAAAGCTGTTGCCAATAGCAGAAATGCACTCTTGATGATAGTAACCAAACATCTAACTTCTGATGGACTATTCTGACTGCCAGAGATAGGGGATGGGTACTGTTGCAAGATTTCAAGTTCATTGGTCGAGATTTCCTGCTTACAGTTTTCATTTCAGAGGATGCAAGCCAAACAGTTCAAGAGCATGCTGGTTGAGCCACATATGTCTCTTCTGATGGACATAAAATTCCGTCTAATGCAACTACGTGGAGAAAGTTAAGCTGCTGCTTCTCAATTAGCACTGCTAACATGTTCAAAGTCTTAGGAATTCTCTAGGAGTTCTGGAGATTACAAAAACTCATCCTACAGAGTAGAAGAAAGAAGAGGGCTTGGGTAGAAGGATTAGCAACGGATTAGAAAGATATTCCTTAGGGAGAATAACATCAGTGATTTGTTAAATTTGGACTTTCCTTCAGCCCTCTTTATCTTTTGCCTAGGCAACACTTAACTTTTCCTTAGAGATGGAAATTTTCTTTATTGTCAATGACAGCTTCCTTCGAGAATGATTCCTCTCACAGGAATCAAGCATCAACTGGACTGTTAAAGATACTAATGATCAAGACACACAGAAGTAGATCATGATGGAGTCTCAGAAGAACTCCAGTCTCCAAGAGCTCTGCTGAGTTTATCCTGTATACTCTCCATGTTGGAGAGGCAAGAAGGCCGACAGCATTCAGTATGCTCTGGAGGAAGAAAAAAGAGAAAATGTAGTCTTCTTCCAGAGGAGTTTTGGAGCATGTCACAATTATACCATGCTACATGTATGCAGAAAATTTGTTTAAATCATACTCTTTCAGCTGTTTCAGGAATGAAAAAACTTATATCAGATAAATAGAACAGTAAACTCAGTGCCATAAATTACTTCTGTAACAAAACGTGTATTTTCACACTTTCGCAAGTCAAAGAAGTACTTACCAACTCTGGCAAACAGTGAAAGACTTGATTTAGGAGATAGCCCCAACAGCATGAAAGCAAAGGCAGTGAGCTACTTCTGATGTGAAGAAATAGTTAATACTGACTCCATTGCCATAATGTTTTGAAGAATTGCTAGGTCTCAGAATAATGGGCTTCTTGAAATAAATACAGGAGGCTATTTATCCTTCCTCTTTGAGTAACAGAAACCATGAAAAGTAAAATTGATCATCCCACAGAAGTTAAAAGACAAGCTGACCATACCACAGATTCTCAGAAACAAGAGCTGTGGGCAGCAAGAATGACTCTATTCACTGAAAGTCTTTTAGGTAAGCAAGTGACACAACAGACGATTGTATAGAACATCACATTTGCCTAGATGGGTTAGACAGAGAGAGAAGACTACCATTACTTATCATTAGAGAATCATAAGATAAATACTACTGAATAGCAGATATTTGGAGGTTTCCAAAATTGGTAGGGTCTGTAATCCCTTTTCCATCTCTAGAAGCAGAAGGCAAAAAGTAAGATAGGAGCAGACCTTTTTTTTTTTCCTTTTTGAAGAACATGAGGTTTTACTGACTAGATAATCAAGTAAAAACTACATAATCAAAAAATAAAAGATCTATTAAGAAACCAGTTACATAGAAATGCTTCCAGTTCTGCCTTGCATCACAACTGAAAAGAATGAATGAATAGTTGCTGCAGCAACTGCACACTTCAAATTCTGAAGTGCAGGAAGCCTGCAGGGGTAACCGAAATTGATACTGCTATTAAAAAGAATCTGATGGTGCATACCCAGAATTAATCTGTGTAGATGGATACTGAAGAACTGAGTGCTCTCTTGGAAAAAAATGGTCCCTCTTCCCTTCTTCTGTATATAAGTTTAAATGCAGTGAAGATTCTATGGAGGAAAGAGGACAGCTGACATAATTTTCTCTGTGTTCTTTTTCATCTTAGCTAAGGCCCTAGTTCTGCAAATACTTGCAAGAATGTTTAACTTTTACCTGAGAAGTTTACTATAGGTTTCAACAGGACAGCTAACATATTTTAAAAAGTCAAGGTTGTATATACAAAATTGACAAATCAAGCTCTGTTACAGGGACAAGCTGCATTTGTAAAGAAAAGTACCTCCTGTTTTACTGCTGATGCACATTTGATGCAAATGCAGCAAGTTCCCATAGCAAAGTATGGTATTAGAAAACACAGAATAAATTTCTAAAAACAAGTGACATCAAATGCCATTGATGCATTAAAATTAATGATGTTAAGTCACTTCTGTTACTGATGCTTACAAATGATTGTTCACTTTTATGAACACTGATACAGAATAACAGTTTTCTTACTTACTTTCAACATGTGCAAATGCACAAAATGGACCACGTGGGCAGTAACCTGTTTGGCGCATGTCATTGCACTTTGTAGATTTATATATCTAAAGAAAACAGAAGGGTGGTTAACCTAAACGTACTTGTTACATAACAACAAAATAGCTAGAAAATTTCATAATCTTTAAATGAAAAATTCTGAATATTTACTAAAAATATGTACTACATGGTTTACTCAGAAAATCCAGTTCTTACAATTATTAAAAATCAAATAGAAGAGCAGAATTTTAAGAAAAGCAAACCTGAGACAAGAGAATCTTAACCCCCTTCTGTATAATAATAAATAGTAAGTAAAAAGAATAGTTTAGAAAAGCAGTGTTTAAACTGCTTTTGTTTTCCATGTTGTATAGAAACAAGTCAAACATTGGGAATCAAATTTTCAGTCATTTATACCACTTTTAAGAAATCTTGCAGGAGAAATTATGTATGTAGTCGCGCAGCTTACACAGCTGAAAAAAAAATGTCTTTTTCAACACAGTTCCTTCGTTAGGACACCTCTAATATTCAAATCATCCTAACATTCGGATGTCATTTTCTAACCTGACTGGGTGCATAAGAACACAAGTAACACTGACTGTTCATGACAGTAATGATTATGTAAATTGTTAGTAAGATCCAGATTCAGTTTATTGCTCTACCAGGATGTTGATCATCTTTGGATCTCACAAGGCTGGGAGAAGGGGTTGACATACTATCATATTAGAATAATATTAAGAACCTATTTAAAAGCTTATAGATTCTTTAGAAAATTAATTCTGGTGATGTGCAAGTCTGTGGCAAATAGCAGAGGGATCTTTTTTGGCTCCCCAAACCCTGGTACTGTGGTCTTTGGCTTTCAGTGTCAGTTGAGTGATTCATGACTCAATAAGTAATAATTCTTAGTTCAGAATGCCACTTTGGCACTTTTGCATATGCTGTTTAAAAAAATGTTTAACTCGGACTTCTGCCTTAGAGCAAACATGTAAATTGAAACTATGCATTAAAAGAAAAAAAAAAATCAACAACTAGCTCCGTAAGCTCTTTATTCTAGAGGTATAGTAAGCATCTTATATAAATTTCCCTCTCATAAGTGATTTTGAATTGAAGCTGAAAACTTAGTTGCTATATTCATTACTAGTTCGTGCATAACCCAAAAATCATCCAAGAAACTACAGTAAAATGCTAAATCACAAAATTATTACTGATGCTTATCACTCTACAAATAATTTAATTTTTCCTTGAACACTGAAAAAGTGACAAAACATCCACGCTGTAGACAAGTATTCACGCAAATGACACACTTAAACAAAACAGCGGGACTGATGTTTCCACCAATTTCACTAGGAGCTATCACTGATATTGCAAAAAACAAAGGAGTCTTTTGTGGATACCACACCCCCAAACTAGGAAATTAACCTGGGCCCATCAACATTCTTTCCTGTTCTCTGTTTATTTGTTAAATATAAAACCCTAATGCTGTACACATAATGCTAACAATGCGGAAGAAAAAAAAAAAACATGAGAAAAGCTGACTTCCAAATGGTTTCAACAAAAAAATGTAATCAGTAGCTCAGCCTTAGTTTGAGGTCCTAGCCAAAAAATAGTCTTCCTGATCCTATGAACTACCCAGACGGTGTAGAGTGCTTTCTGGTAAGTGCTACAGATACAAGAAGTGATAATACAGATAGTATCAAAATACTATTGGGGCAGAGCTCACACCTCAGAGACTGATTCTAGAGGTAGTCATGTCATCTACAAATACTGATATTACAAGACAGACAGCAAACTCAAAGAACTAAATCATTACAGAAGACTAACTTCCCAGCTATAGACAAGAACACAGCTGCTATCTATAAACAGTAGAATCAAGAGGCAATGAGAATATTCTGTATTTGAATTTGGTAAAGAATGAGTACATGAAAACATCCAATAAGAGAAGATAATGTTGGATAAAGTGAGTATTAACTCAACTTACATTAAAAGGACATAAAAAAGTGTCGTGGTTTAGGCCTGGTTGGCAGCCAACCACAATGCAGCACCTCTCTCTCCCTTCCCCTCCGGCAATGAGAAGGGACAGAGAGCCAGGCTTGGGGTTCGAGATAGGACTGGGATGGGGAAAAATTCCCCTTTATGATCACGAGCAAAAGGCAGACTCGTTAGGGGAAAAAAGAAAAGAACATACATTTATTACAGACACTAACAACACATAACAGAGGAGGACAGTGAGAAGCATTGCCACATCTTGAGAACACCTTCCCCCCACCCCTCCCTTCTTCCCGGGCTCAGTTCTGCTCCCGATATCTCTACCTCCTCCCCCAGTGGCGCAGGGGCAGGGAATGGGGGGTGCAGTCAGCGCTGCCACTTCCTTCATCTTCGGTGAGGGGAGTGTCCGGAACTTGTTCCTCCTGCTCCGTCGTGGTCCCCCTCTCACAGGAGACAGTCCTCCACAAACTTTCTCCGACATGAATTCCTCCCACGGGCCGAAGCGTTCCCCACACTGCTCCATCATGGGTCACTGACTTCCTCTGACTGGATTCTCTCCCACAGCTGCAGCCCTTCCCGAGCTGCTCCGGCGTGGGACTCCCCCGCATGCTGCAGTCCTCCCAGCGCTGAATTACAGCAGCGGGGCTACCTTTTCCCACGAGACCCCGGCCTTCTTCGGGCGCAGAACCTTGATCAGCTGCGCAGGAGCCACAGGCCGTAAATCAATGTCTGCTCCACCGTAGATTTCCATGGGTGGCGGGGGTGGGGGGCCGCCCTGCCGTCTCACCACAGGATACAGGGGGGTCTCTGCTCCGGCACACCTCCCCCCTCCTTTCTTCCTCCGTTCCTCCACTGACCTTGGTGTTCACGCAGCTGCAGCAACTCCTCCTCACAAGTCCCACTGCCCGTCACCACGTCCCTTCTTAAATACGTTATCGCAGAGGCGCAGCCAATTGGCTCAATTTCCCAAACAGAAGTGGAGCTGACGTGGAGCTGGGGGACCTTCGAGAAGCTTCTCACAGGGGGCCGCCCCGATAGCCCCCTCCCCTGCCACCAAAAAAACTCCACCATTCACTCAACCCAGGACAAAAAGTAAGGCTGAGCTAATGTTATTGACATCAAGTAAGTAGACTGAGGAATGAAGGCAATTCATTGCCACCATTAAATAGATTAAATTTCATTATTAACTGAATTAGTGCTTTGAATCCTCAAGTCGGAGGTACAAATGTGGTATGGAAGTTCCATTCTAACCACAAAACTGGCTGAAAGTAAGATCTGGAGCAAAGGAGGGAAAGAATCACAGGGTATGATGTTGAATGAAAACCCCTCTTTCAGTGCAGGTATGTTGCTGGTTTCTGTGAAATTAAATACTAGATCTCAAATTAGGTGAGGTGATAACACTATCCCCACCAAACTGCCTTGATTATCAGCAGGAATTATGCTCAACACTACAACAAAGGGAGCACAGCTAATAGAAACAAACAGACAAAGACTGCAGTGACTACATCTAATGTGGAAGCAAATCACCATCAGTTCAGGAACAGAAAGTGGATTAGGTAGGTTTTATATCAGAATTTTTAAAAAACTGGCAAGACTGATGTAGTTACCAAGTACTTTTAATAAAGCCATCATGTCAGAAGAAGCACATATAACTGAGGTATATTAAGTATAGCTCGCATATGTTTGAGAAGAGCAAAAATAGCTGATTCGGGCCACTGCATGTCCACTAATTATTCTGTCTGTCACTGTTTAGATTAAAGCCAGAAAGAATGAGATAAAATTAAAAGTTCATTTGGCAAAGGCATATCATGATAGACTCACCATAGAACTTTGATAAATCAAAGGTCCTTCTCTAAAATGGAAATGCTGTCATTCTAGCAAGGACTTCAATAAAGGATGTGGTAAGATTCATTAATTAATATAATGAAGAACATGATTCTTACCAATGTTACCTATCTGCTGTTAAATTTACTAATGGAGACATGACAATGGATGGTATGAAAGAGGAAGGCAGGCAGCAGACAAAATTGGTAGCAGAACTCAAGGCTCAGCCTTGTGACTTATTTTAGCACTTTCACTCATAGCTTTGTCATAAATAAAAGTATGGTAGCAATACTAAGCAGGAAGACACCTTTACTACAAAAAAGGGCTGGAATATGATGCAGAAGAAATTAGATGATCTGAAATAAATCTAGACTGAAAAATCTCTAGTAATCAAGACAGGGAAGTTCTGGAGCAGCATCTAAAGAGTAGAGATAGATGACACCTGTTTAGTATAAAGCTGGTCAATTTATGATAGGGAATGTATGATATGAAGCTTGCAACAATCCTGGAATCAGTATTCTAAGAATTCCTTTCCCAGTATGGACTTGAGATGCCTTCAATAATATTCATAATTGGAAGAGAAATTAGCAATTGCTCGAATGGTCTTTGCTTACACCTTACTAAGTATTGAATGTTCTAATGCAAGAAATTACATCCTGCTGTGAATTCTTCATGTCCATTTGAAGGTTCCAAAATGAAAACAGATATCCAATGTTGTACAGGCAGTTTCTAACACAACATGTCTTTTCAGTATCATGTTTGTTTCCATTAACTGTCACATGTAGTATCTTCATAGTGACACATAAGAATTAAATGTCAGCAGACTGCATAGCACTGCTCTTGCTCCAAGCATTTCACTGTTACACTCAAGCATTCAACAAAGTTACAGTGACTTTGCCTACAGAGGAATCTAAAATAACCTTGTTTTTTTCTGGAGTGTCTTACTTCAGCCACTAGGAGAGTTTTCTGCTCTTTCCAGCTCCTCCTCACCTATTCAGTTTCTCTAACTTATTTGCAATACAGCTTTTTTAACAATACTTAAAATAGAAAATTGTTTCAAGTTATTGAGTAGCAATTGCTACTGTGACCTCATTACCAATCCAAGAAGTCAGGTAAAAAAGAGAACACATTTATCTATGCCCAAATCCAGAGAATATTAATTAATTTTTTATATGTGGTACAATAAAAATGCCTATCAGTGAAAACCACAGCAGTACAAATAACTATTTCTTAGCAAATTTTGTTTTACTTAAGCAAATACCTCAATGACTAGAAGTGCTGAATGAAATGTCACGTTTTTTCATAAATAAGATCTCTAATCGATAATCTAACCCATAATAAATTTGAAATAGCTAAAAATAAGTAGAAACGTAGTTCTTACCTCAGGATGAAACTGCTGCTCTGTACGAGAATGACAATATTGACAGCTATCCCCACTTTCACACCTTGAAGGTTCACCCCATTCATCTGCATGTTTTACACTGGGACAAGGAGTGGACCTAGAAAAAAGCAATGTCCAGAGCATGTTTGTATCTACTTCCTAACAGAAATCTCAAACAATTTCCCACTAAATCTCAGAATTTTAGATTCTGGGACCTATAAAGTTGCAAATTCTGAGAGACTGACCTTTTGGAAACTCTTTGACAGAAAGATGAGCTGGTAGGATTCTATCTATCTTTCGTCTAATGACATTTATTCACAGTCCTGAGACGGTCAAGCATAGCCCATCAATTCTAAACCTTGTATCACTTCATGAAAAAACATCAAAACCAATGAAGAAGCCACAGTGTATGAGAATGATGCAAAATGATGCAATGATGAGTGATGTAATGATGAAAAGTAAGAGAGGAGACACATTACATTTTGGTCCTAAAAATATTGCTCGGAAATGGAAAATTATAGAAAAAAATCAGAAAAAAAAGACAAAAAATTATAATTGATCTTTTAATTACAAAGGTTTGACCTAGTGATTCCAATTTTTGCTAAGAAATACAGAAATTATTTTCATTCTTCACAAGAAAGAAGGACATTTCCATTACATCTTCAAAGTTTTTGTCTTCAGAACTGACTGATCATTCTGAACAGATGCTTTTTTCCCAAAAATATTTTATCAAGGCTATTGGGAAAGATGTGTCTTTACTCCATTAGGAATATCCAATTGCACTGTGGAAGAACCCAAACAGATCAGTCATTAACAACCGTCTGACTGACCAAAAAATCTTCTCATAACATGTATATATGTACCTGTATTTGAATTTTCTGGGATTTCGTCTTCTGTCTCGACTATTGTGATAATGTGGACATGCATAACCCTGGCGGCAGAGTCTGGGTGGCTTGGTACATTGTTCTGTCTTGTAGCCAGCTAATACAAAATTTGTGTCTGTAAACAGGTCAACAATTAAGAGAAATAAACGAATAAATTTTGCATTCAGAGTGTCTTTAGTGACCTTAGGTATCACACTGTTTTTTGTAGAAAAAAATATGATTCACAGACCCCTCCATTCTTCTAAACTTAGACTGACTCCAGTATTTTTTAAAATAGAAGTCTAACACATCTACACGCAAAGCAGTTTTCACCGCTTTTATATTAAATGGCAATATTACAATAAAGCACTAGCAATCTATTGGTAAAGAAACTATCCAGAAATACTCATTATATACATTTTGAAAATGAATACCTGAAAATACATTATTCATTTTAGTAAGACAAACACTAAAAACTTATACAATTTTATATCTGGATTTCTCTTAAGTTTAGTGTTGACAGTCCTTATTTCACCAAAACTGCTTTCATGTTAAGACATGTTAAGGCTGTCCAGTAAAATCTTCTTCCTGGACAAATTTTAGAGCCTCTTCTCTACCTTTGCCTCTGTCTCTATATCTTTGGTTCCATGAAGGAGGAACTAAGAGGTGACAAACAAGGTTCTGTCTAGAAACAGAGAAATTCAGAAGAACAATGGAGCAAGTAAATAAATTAGAAGGTACAATTTAGCTAACGACAAGCATGGGCTTGTGAGAAGTAAATCATGTCAAACCAGTCTAACTTCTTCATAAGATGCAAAAATGGATGTAGGTTCTTGATTTCAGCAAATCTTTTAGCCTGAGATGTTCTCAAAACCAAACTGTGCAATACTACAAATCTCCTGTAAGATTTGTGAAAACATCCTCAGAGAGTCATTAATGATGTCGTTTCAAATAGCAAGGAATATTAAGGAGAATATCACATGAAGTCTATTCTATGTTCAGTTCTTTTCAATAGCTTCATTAAATGCTTAGGAAAATAAGGCTGAAATCACTAGTTGGGTGATTTTCAAACCCCAGAAACTATCTACAATCTCAGCATATTTACAGGGATTGACAGAAGCCATACAACATTATATAACACCAACCTGTCACAGTGCAAGGAATGCAATAGGAGTACTTGTAGTACTTGGTCAATTTTGCTGTCATTTTACATCAAACATTGGATATTTTTGAATCTGAAGCTGTCAACTAAGCTTTACACATTATCAGTACTTAAATGGTTGGAACTCACCCTATAGCAGATTTTAAAAATATAGAGGGGAAAAGTATCATACAATTGTGTCCCCTTGAATTCTTTAGAGGCAGCATCTTCATGTGACCTCTTTCCATGTTACTGTCCCCACATGAGTTTTGTGAAATCAATTGTATCCGGCAGTCTTTTCTAAAGTAAAACTTGGACAAGAGCTCTAACAATATCCAATTGATACTAACATCTTTGGCTACACGATAAGCAAGCCTAAACCAAGAACATGAGAACCAACTTTAAAAGTCTTAAGAAAACTAGGGCAATTGGATTTACTTTAAGAGATCTAATGTAACACTTTAAAGACATTCTTGTATTTTAATACTTTGTTCCAATTTTCTGTTTAATATTCTACTTCATTCCTATTAGTCAAGCTCAGCAAAGAGTAACTGTCCATTAACGAGTCTATTAATGACTCAAAAAAGGAAGACTCTAATCATTACTACTTCTTAGCACAAGACAGAGCTCCTACTGACTTTTAAGAACATTTATTCAATTGACACAGATTAGTAACACATGCATCAAGTAAACTGAAAAAGACCTATTAAACACCTTTGAAAGGAAACATTTTCAAAATGAAATCTGAATATAAATGCAACAGACAGTACAATTTGTTCACAAATATCCATATGACTTTTATATAAATCAATTATTTACTCTGTTAAAGAAAGGCTTTTGAAATTCTCCCAGATGAAGGCTCAGGATCAACAAACTGGACCAAACACCAATAAAGAAACAGAGAAAGGAGGCAGGGTAACATTACCCTGCCATCTTGGATCTTCACTAAGGATCTTCTCAATCATTGCCTGGCTTGCTAAAATTCCTGGTTGCAGATCTGGAATGCCTTCACCGCATCCTAGTTGCCCATTCTGTAGGGTTTCCTGTGCTTGAAGTTCTCTGGAAGGGGAAAAAGAAAACAACACTGCTAAACTGTACAGCTACAGTAACCCTATCTGTTTGGGGTGCAATCCTGTCCAAGTCCATCAAAATTAGGTTATTTAATCCAGCTCTTAACAAGCCAAAGTTGTAAAAAAGAATTGACTATATTTCAAACCATTACTTGTGCTGAAGCTGGTAGACCATCATAACAAATAACGATGTCATACGAATCAAAAAGAACACACGAAGGAATGCTGGTATTAGGTACAATTATTGTACCAGCAATGCCCATCTGTACTTCTGTATGCTGGTGGGCTGACATTTTGAATACGGTATTAATTTCTGATATTCCACTACCACATAGGACATGGTACAACTAAAAAAGATATAGAAAGGGCACTGAGGGTGATCAGAAATACTAAAGAACTCCTCTGTGAGGAAGAATTAAATACCATAATACTCATTGTCTTGGAAAAGTTATGACTGAAGGAAGGTACAAAATATAGCTATTAAATACTACATCATATAAAAGCAGCCAAAGTACTTTCAGCTAACCATAAGATTTTGAAAGAAAAGTTTGTCAAGACATTTGGAAGACCTAGTAACAAGCAACACTCATGAGGAAATGGAATCTATTCTGCAAGAATTTACAACTGCTTTGCAAGTAAGCAGCCACAAGGTTGCTGAAAGATCAGAATGAGTACTACCGAACTGAAAGGTACTGTATTAGTAGTATGAAACCTCTATCAAAAATCTGACACCATTTTATTACACCGTTTTAGTAAAATTAAGTTGTACAAGATTCAACAATGGCAAATCAGTACAAAAATATTTAAGAAAAAAAAAAAAACAAAATACTGTAGCATAATTATATGAGGCTGCCTTTGAAGCAATGGATAGACAAGGTGAGGAATCAAGTACCAGAGGTGGATCTATAGTATTCTGAGAATCAAAGGTCTCTACCTTCAATTAGCACTTTCTCTTGACACAAATATTCAAGGAGCTTACTTCCTATACCAAAACATCCCTACTCGGGATCTCTGAGGAATAGTTTGAAAGGTATGGTCATTTATAATGTAGTCATGGTATCATTTGAAGAACTTCCCAGACCCCAAGTATCCTCCAAGAAAGAAAATTTCAAATGGAAAGGAAGACAAGACAGACCCAAAGACAAGTCTAAAACTTTTCAAACAGTCAAAATACTTCTTTTACAAATTCAGAAAAGGTGCAGGCAATGGGAAGAAAAAAAGATAGTTACTACAGAATGTTTTTTCTTTAAAGTGGATATGTAGAACAAGGCTATTAAGGGGAATAAAGTTAACGTCTACATCAGTGATTCTACTGTAACGTATCTGCTCTTTACTCAAAATGAGGAAACCCTAATATATGTCTATCGTAGAGCAAAAAGACCACCAAATTAAAAATAAGACCTAATTGTTTGACTTCCTTATGAATGATGGATACCTGAGATCAGGAGAAGCAATAGCACACAACTGTTCTTCACAAACACCAATGAAGTTTGAGGCATCCTACTGGTAGGTTCAAGCTGTTAAACATAGACTCCTACCACAAATGTCTTCAGTGTCTCCTGATGCTCTATACATAGCCAATCACCAACAAACAACCACGTGACACATTAAAATACATTTAGAGAACAGAGCTTGGTTTCAGTCTTGCTATATGTTGGCTCCTCATTCTAATACAATACAAAAGATTACAAAGACACTAAGCATTCTGTATTCAGACTGACGTGGCATCATGGTCCATATGCTAAATAAGGAAAGTTAAAAAGAAGAAAAAGAAAATGAACAGAAGTCTTGCAGAAGAAGCATCAGCACGCTAATTGAAGAAAGTCTTCTGGAAAGAAAAGTTATATGTAACTCAACAGTATGTGACCAGGCAATGCAGCAGTGCATTCTGTGGCAAAATATGAATCTAAATAAATATGAAATTACTGAAAAGGCACTAACTTTACTAAAATTATTGTGAAGGGACAGTTATCATTATCCAACAGGTGGTTAGGAATAAGGGATAACACAGGTAAGAATGCAAGACAGCAGCCATACCGGCTCAGATCAAAGGTTCATCTTGCCTGGAATCCTGTCTCCAAAACTGGCCAATAGCGGATGCCTAGGGAAGAGTGTAAGAATAGGGCAAGCGTAGAGTGATACATCCCCAGAATGCTCTTCCAGTGTCCAGTAAGAGATACCTGTGACCCTCCAAGGCTTCAAAGCTCTCTAGGAATTGGTATCCTTTCCTACTGAGTATACACAGACCACCTTCTATAGCAAGAGCTCCCCGTCTGCCTATTTATAATACCTCTCAACAACATGCTTATCTTCCAGCTTTGACCAGTTAAAACTCATACCTACCACTACCCCGATTCGCAAAGCACCCTCTTTTGATGATAACTTGATTATACATTAGGGCGGCAGAAAATAATACTGATATCTTATACATGAAAATATACAACATAATTAAAAAACCCACAATGTCAGTAGGTAAAATGTCAAGCGTACAAGTGGAGAACCTGAAAGATGGCTTAACAAAATCATAAACTTGTGAATGTGAAAACCACATGCAAATTTACAAGGCATAAATGACAAAAGGAAGAGTATCTGGTCTTTTATCATTCATAAGAATTACATATATGGCTCTTGAAATTGCAAATTACAAAACCTTAGTATTTGTATTTCCCGTGTGCTTCTATCTGCTATCACGATGCACAGTGAATTGTACTCTTATGTTTACAGTTACAGGACTAGCTATATTTTTCATGCAAAGCATACTGCATTTTCTGGTATGTGGTGATAACAGACATGTGGTATTTCCTGCTAATTAGGCTGAAGAATTTGAAACAAGACTACCTTATATCATATACTGGTGGTCTAAGGTCATGTGGACCATGAGCAAAGGCACAGTGAATTCCATTCTTGACACAGTGACCTCGGGCATCTGTTTCATGAATGCATGTTCCAGTCTTGTAATATCTGAGATGATACTTCCTTTCTGTATCCCCTGTTGTTCGATGCAGGTAAGGGCAACTACATAATAGAAAAATCAAAGTTAGAGCATTGCTTTGAGTTTTGTTTCTAATAATTTAATTTTTAATTATGCTATATCTCTTATCAATTTGTAATGAGTAACTTGGCAGGATTCTCCAAACAAAACTTGTCCCAAACTAACCACCATCACAGATCACCTTCAAAATTAAAAATACTAATCTTTTTCTTAGTCTCTGATAAAGTTGTAAGAATTCACAGCAGGCTGGCTCACAAAGATATTATGAATAAATCTAGTAAGTATCCTTGTAAGCAGCAACATCATCTGAGCTAAGGAATGACATCTTCCATACTGATACAAGCTCAAATAATTTCTACACCGAGGTACGAGACATTTATTTATTTTTAACATTATCATCTAAAATTAAGGGGTACTTGAAGCACAGTGATTTTTTTCATGACTGCTCTTTATAGACATGAAACTGACTGAACAATCTCAGGGGAAATCTAAAATGACTCTTCTACTGAAAGGAAGAGAACAAATTTTACATCAGCAATACACCTTTGTACATACACTAACCATTTTTCAGACACAGCTATGTGAGTTATGGTCTGTACTTTAAAATGGCTAATATCATATATGGATTATAATTCCAACTACCAACAGTAAACAAATTTTTAAAAACTCACAAAAATATATACACAAGCATGTCTGTTCTCTCCTGGGTTATTTCAGTGCAATTAATTTTGGTCTCTGCTGGTTTTGAAAACTAATCTCCAAAAACTACTTTCCCCTATCCCAAAGTAAATGAAACTGCACCAAAAATCTTAACAGTGAGACAGAACAACAAAAGTCTCCCCGAAGTATTTTACTTTGAATGAAAGGAGAATCGTGAAGCACTAAGTAGACTTTAACACTCATAAAATGTTATGCTAGTTTAAGTTTTATTTATTATAGTCTAAAAAGGTTATTTGGAAACTAAACAAATGCAATCGTTTCTAAATATTTACAAGTCTGGCATTTATATATTTACATCAAAATCATACATTTTTCCTGCTGTGCTAAACACCTGCAGCTTGTGCTGACTTCCAGGAATTGATACTGTTTATGATTTCTGAGAATCAAGTTGTTTCCTTGCAGGAATTTAGAAACAGCATTCTCCTAAACAAGATAAATGGGCTGCAGTTAGCGATTTGTACCTATCTCTTTAAATCCCAACAGAATCAGTGGGAAGACTCGGTATACCAAATTCAGTGCTACATCTCATTTTGTTAGTGTAAAATGGAGCACAGTCCAGTCTATACTCAGGATCTGAAAGTAGTTCTTTCACACTTCTTGGCTCTCCATGGAAAGACAGGATACAATCTTTGCTGGACCCATTATAGTACCTCAGCTGAACCTTGTGAGTAATTCTTTGTGATGTGTAAACAGCACTGATGCAGCTCTCCTGTTCTGCTAGAACTGCTACTGGTATGGAAAAATTTGGAGCTCAAACCGAGCCTTCTGCTTTATTTTCTCCTTCTCAGCACTGGAGGGGGAAAGGGGGAGTGAGCAGCTGTGTGGTGCTCAGCTGCCCTCTGAGCTCAAACCACGACACCCTCCCAGTGCCAAACTACAACAGCAGGGACCACTTCTCCCCTCAGAGTCCCGTCTTCCTGTAAGCACAGCTTCCTGTCGGCCTCTGCTACACTGGGGACCTCCAGGGCTGGCAGAGCGGGTGGCCCCGCCGTCTCACCACAGGATACAGGGGGCTCCGCTCCAGCATACATCCCCCCACCACCACCCTCTTCGTTCTACTGACCTAGGCGTTGATCCTTCTCTTAACTGCTCCTCACAACTCCCAACCCCCTCTCAGGGTCCCCTCCTTAAATAGTTCTTGCGGAGGCACAACCGCGGTCGCTAATTGGTCCGGTCCTGGCGAGAGGCGGGTCCGACGTGAAGTCGGGGGAGCTTTCCGGAAGCTGCTCGCAGCGGACTGCCGCTGTAGCCCCCCCTCCCACTACAGAATCCCAGCACGGGCTGCTAACCAGGAAGCGATCTTCAGTAACTACAGGGGACAGCCTTCCCAAGCCAACTGCAGCAAAAATGTTTCCATCTCACGTCTGTTACTGACACGTTTCTTCTTATTTGCTTCTAACAATTCAATCTTGCCAACCTAACACCTTTTTAAAACATTCCTGCTTTTTTCCTCCTTTAGAGTCAGTATCTTGTAATTCAATAATGAAAGCTCAATTTCTGTCCCCAACCAATCCATGACACGAGTATCCGTTATCCTTGTTTGTGGATTTTCAAAGAACAAACCGTCGGTGCTGCCCCAGGATGGGCAGGAGTGCTTTACAAACACCTGAAAAGATAATTAATTGTTCTCTTTTAAATCATGCTCCAGAGACATTTTTGCTGTTTATATTACTTAGGCATGGTACTCAGTATTGTCACTCTGCCTAGTGCATTTTTGTTGTTTACCTTCTCTCATCTCTATTGATTAGTTTGTAAAGCCTCTGGAAAAAAAATACACCTTTTTCTTCTGTGACTACAGCCTACAACACAAAAGATACCTCATCCGTGATAAGTGCTGCTATACAAAATAATTATGTTCAATTTTTAAACCTGGTGACCAGCATAACTACTTATTTCCTGGCTCGTTTCCTGCAATATTTTTTTTCAGAAGTCCCTCCTTACTTCCATCACTGCAGATAAAGATAGCTCCTCTAACATGACCACAATATACCCAGCTCATCTATATATGCCTGCCTGCCATATTGTGCCATATTGTACCATTAGTTCATTCACAACTCCACAAAGCTTCTACCCCTCCCCTAGTTCACTGAAGTCCCTCTGTACCCTTTATCTAGAAGAGACACATGTCCATGGAAATGCAAACACTAACGAGCTAGCCAGACAACTAACCGTGAATTCCTTCCTTTGCTTTTTCTCACCGGAAGCATCACAAAACAGTCACTCTCCTCTACTACCCATCAATCTTCACAAAACTTAGGTAAGTTTAAAATCTTGAAGCCACCTCTATACAGTATAGTTTTTACCTACTAGTCAATTTCAAAGTTGTCAAGAGAAATAGGAAGCATAGCTGGAAAAAAAAAAAAAAAACAACAAAACAACAATGTGCAGCAACAATACTAGCACAAATGTGAAGGAATAATACTAGCAGAAAACCAGTTTATGATGTTATGCTTTAAAGACCGTCACAGTGCAAAATCATAGTTCTAACTCTATGATAGGCTAAATAAGACATACTTACATAAAAGTATATGTGCCAAAAACTGACAAATCACTTATAGAAATCTGGTTTCAAATAAACTGCAGCAGGATATTATCAATCATTTTCACTAAGGAGAAATTAGCAACTTTCCTTAATGTCATTGTTAATACTACAAACACCTAGGACTGCAAGAAATCACTTACTCATCTCCATCTGGGCAGATTCCTGTAGTCTCATCATATTTTGTACAATAAACATCTGGACTGTAGTTAAAAGTCCCATCACGCCTTCGTATAGGTCTACGACGACGCTGATTTAGGAAATGCCAATGAAAACAGGTAAATGGTCTGTGCTGGGTACACTTGTGCTGCAAAAATAGGGGGCACTGCTCTGTCCTAAATTCCTTTAGATACCTAAAAAAATTAAACTGTGTTACAAGTTTATCTTATTGGAGGCACATTTTTACAGTATTAACAGGGCACTTGACAATTCAATGCATATAGCCCGTGAAAAATTGTACAAATGTACCTGCATACAGTTTTAGTTCCTATGCACAATTTAATGTTTAACTGTTGAATACAATTGACCTCATTTTTTATGACGGATGCATTGCTAATAAAATACAGTGGAATACCTGGCAAATTATACTATGTTTTGCAACTAAACTAAAACCAAATAAATACATTAATTTAAAAAGCACAGTATTTAGAATATTGTCCTAAGTAACCACCAAACAGAGATTATAAATCCAACAAGTTACTTGAATGAGCATTCATAGCACTTGCTATCATACAAAATAGTCCTACAAAGGCTATTTTATCTAAATAACACATCTAATTTATATATTAGTCCTTAATCACAACATCCCCAGAATGTGGACACCCTATATAGAAAGATAGAGGGTTAAAAGAACTCTATGAAGGTTATCAGGTGCTATGAGATAACTTCAGCAAACTTATTTTTAGCAACTGTTATATTTGTGTTGAGACAGTCTGGGGTCTTTGAAGGTTACTTAGGTGTAAGCCAGTCCTTCATTAGCATGCAGGGCATAGAAGCTAGTTAGGAAGTCTGATACTCCTTTCCACAGTATAACAAAACTGTGCCAGACTGGGCACTACCGTGGCATTTGTCAAAGGATGTAAGACAGCACTTCTTTCTGTCGCAGTTTATATATACCTATTAGTTGATTTAGCAAGTTAATTACATTGCTGAAGTTATAGATTATTTGCAGAGGAAGGGATATATGAGGTCTCTAAAAGGGTGCAGGATGTGTAACAGGCTACAGGGGAACTGAAGATATAAGGAACGGAAAGAATTTGAAAGAGGAATAAAAGGCATCTTTTTGTTCTCATTTGCTTAAATTGGCACATGGGGGATGTAATGGCACAGAGTTATGAAGCATGTCATTAAGTTTAGAGAAGAATGTCTAAACTATACAGGATTGTGAACAGGAAAGGGAAAAAAAAAAAAAAAAGGAACATAATTTTGGGGCATTAAGTGCTGTAGGATGGGCTGTAGCAGTATCTTGTTAAGTGGCTACATTCTTGTGGTCTTTCCAAATGCTGGAAATGTGAAATTATATAAGTGATGATACGGGGGGATAGGAGTAAAAGAATGCCATGATTAAGTGATATATTATACTGCACTTGTAGGGACTGCATGGTCCTACACAAGATAGGCTGTCAGTAGTGCTGGAGGGCTGCAAGATCTTTATAGACCATATCAGAAAAAAACGGATAGGTTTGCAGAGATGATGACGAGCAGATGGGAGCTGTCTTTCAGTACAGGAAGGTCTGCAAAATTTGTCACGGAAGACTCGAGCGGAAGCTAGCTACACAACGCTTAGGAGAAGTGGAAGAACTGTCATAGCTTGGAGAGGGCGGTCCCGGAGTGCGAGAGGGTGCTGCGAGGCTCGGGATGCCGGAGGATGCCGGCAGGTCACAGTGCGGACCAGAAAGGCACGACCGTGGGAGGGGACGCAAGGCGCGGAGAACCGCCGAAGAAGCTCTGCAGTCAGCCGTGCCCGGGACGTCTCTATCTGGCCAGCAAAGAACGCGGCTTCCTCCTCGCGGCTCCTGGAGCCGGAAAAAGACTACGGCAGAGGCTGGCCAGGGCCAAGCAGCCTCCCCACAGACCTGCCGCCAGTGAAGGAGGCCGCGCAGAGCAGGCCTGGCACACGACAGGGCCCTTCCCCTCCGGTCCTGAGGCCCTCCCCGCGAGACAGTGGGGCCCAGGGAGCAGGGCGCCTCCAGGGCGCGGTACCTACGTATAATGTGTCGGCTGCTCGGTCTGCGGGGACCCACCGGATCCACCACCCCGCGACGCCGCTTTCGAAACCGACGGCATCTTCCGCGGCGGTCAACAGAGCGCAGGCGCAGCCCGACCCCGCCGGCCCCGCCCCCTTCAACGCGACCCCGCCGGCCCCGCCCCACGAGCGAGCGCCCCGGACGCCCGCCCGCTGACCGGCGCAGCCCTCGCCCCGCCGCAGGCGGCATAGGCCGCGCCGCCTCCCGGTGCCCGGGGAAGGCGCGCCTGCCGCCGGGGCTCCAGCGCAGCCCCGTACGCGATGCACCCGCAAGAACCGTCCGACTACAACGGCTGTGTCCTCCAACGCCCTGGAGCGGGTACGCGTTTAGAAAGAGCGGGCAGAGCTCCTTCAGCGAGCTTCAGCTGAGGGCGTCGTACTCTGTGCGTTTAACAAAACGCTGCAGAGAAAGAGTTTGCAAATTTTCCAACACCTTAAAAGCATGAGAATACGAGAACAGTTTTACAGGTAGAGATTCTTTATTAAACACCTATCACATCACCAGAAAGCAAGGCGCACACAAAGGGGCAGCTCTTCATTTCCTGAAACAAAGCGGTACAGCGCTGGGGTCATTGTTTAATACACAGAGAAAGCAAGCTAGTCAGAGAAAGAGGCATTACACCTTAGGTCGACGTAAGTAAAATCCGGGATCGCTCTTTTATTCACTAGGACGCTCCCCTGAGTGTGTCTCACGATTTTACTGCAGTAAAAGTTGATTCTCAAGACGAACCTTGTGACAGTACCAAACCAACTGTACTCGTTTACTAGGCATCGTCTGGTTAAACTACAAGGACTCTACAGCAAAAATCAAAAGCCACGGTGGTGCATGTTCAGAGATTAGTCAGCAGTATTAGACAAACACGATGCTCAGTCGGTTTTCTCTGTAGCTCCAGCCTGTCTTACTAGCTGCTGCGCCGTTTGGTTTTTTGGTTTGTTTGTTTGGGGGGTGTGTGTTGTTTTTTGTTTCTTTTTTTTTTTTCTCTTTTTTTTTTTTAATTAGAAATTTTAATGGCACAAAAACAGTTCTGCATTTTTACATTTGTAAACTTTAAAAAAATGCCTCTAACTCTGAAGGGTACTAAGTTGCAGTAGTAGCTTAGATTCCTCCTCTCCAAGAAAAGACTCCAGAGTATATGTTTGATTATGTATGAATCTGTAGGAAACACTAGATATTACATTGTTCAATGGAACTAAGGATTTCCTCCCCATTATAATGCAAGCCAATCTCTTCAATTCCCTGCAAAAAACCTCTCCTACCAGTAATGATCACCTAAATCAGGCATGCCTACAAAGTTACAGTCCAGAAAGCAAGAACCAACTATGCATTAGGGTCAAAGAAGGTCATTTAGTAGAATTCCCCAAAAAATCAGAACACAAAGAATCACATATGAATGAATCATACACTTACAGTTGTCTTCAATATAAGCTGAACATACTTTGTGACTAGCAAAATGTCAAATGAAAGTCACCTTCAGCAGCAATTTTACAGACTTACAGCTTTGATATTTTAATATGCTGCGCATTTAAGGCAAATGATCCATGGAAGAGAGATAGGTCGTACAAAAAGTATCTCCAAATGCAAGCTGATCTGCAATATATCCTGTTCGTCTCTACTGCACAATGCAGAAAAAAACCTACTCCTTGTGCTACCAGTGTAAATTACTCAACTAAGACCAGCACAGAAAGCAGCACGATACATGAAGGAATCAAGCTTGCAAGATAAGGCTGCTGATGGGTCGGAAAAAGCGAGTTTTCTCATTAAAGTGTAAATACAGCTTTTAACCAGGTGAATGCCAGCAAACTTCTTTTGGCAGTTCCTTCACTGCAGCCGCACTCCCGTCCTCATTTCTCCTGCAGCTGCAAGGGAGCATTGACTTTTTGGGCCGCATCTAAAGAGTCCACAATCTGACCGGAGAAAATTGCTTCCAGTCGCTCATCAATCTCCGTTTTTTTCCCTGAACGTGCACCAGAGCAACAGTCCAGTGCACAGCAGACTGACAGGCAGCACCTTCACCCACGGCCTCTCGCAGTCGCTCCCCATAGACCGGCTGACGCTCCACACCCGCGGACTGGCCTCGCTGACAGAGAAGGGGATGGGCCCTCCGCCCTCCGGATCCTCGTCCCCCGCGCCCTCTGGGCCCCGCCGCCGCGTCAGCCACCTTCGGGGGCCAGGAAGGCGGAGGGAGCACCGCGCCCTGCAAAGACACAAGCGTCAGAGGTGCGGAGCGCACCGCCAGCACCCCCGGCCCCGCGCCCGCCACCTCACCGCCAGCGGCCCAGCGCCCAGCTCATCCCGGCGCGCCGCCCTGCCCCGCTCCCCCCCGCGCCGCCGGAAGCGGAAGCGCGGACGTCCCGGGGCCGGTCTCGGCGGCCGGCCCGAGAGAAGCGGCTGGGCACGCGCTGCCGCGGTGAGGGCCCTACGCGCTGGCTGCGCGGCGCGGCGCGTCACGGACCGGCCAGCGGGAGGAGGCAGAGCGGCCGGAGGCGGCGGTCGCGGCCCTACCGGCTCCAGCAGTAATGTTTCCACAGCTTGGGTTGGAAGAGGCCATTTTATTCCATATTACACACCGAGGATTGCCATGTATCCCCTCAACACAACTGTTTTATAACAATTGGGTGTTTTCGCAGCACGTTTCCGTCAGATCCTGAACAGCTTTATCTACCTGCAACCCAAAGATGACATCAATCTCTGAACACAGGTGGCTGGAATGGTACATTATGCACTGCTGTGGCAGAAAACACGTCTTTTTCTGCTAAAGTCTGCACAGAAAACAGCATAGGGATAAAATAATGTGTTCTTAATATTTCACTTACTACCTTTCATATAACATCTTACAGCATTGGTCTTCAACTATTTTGTATTTACACTACCTGTTACCACGCTTGATACCAAAGAAAATCACAAGGCTAGGACTGGAGACACAGAATCTGTAAACCTCTGCCCAATACCGGCCTTAGCAAAGAAGTTTTGCAAATGTTCTCAGAAACTAGCCAACTGTTCTCAGTAACGGTGAGTCCTCACTCCATTGCTTTAGGGCAGAAATTCAGAAAGTCAAGAATACTCACAGAAAGTATTAGTGACACAATACATGTTCAACTTGCTTGACATTCCATATGAACTTGCTGTTTACCACCCAACTTTCTTCATAGAGTGTCATTCCAAATTCCTGTATCGCCATGCAAGTGCGCGTCATCCTTTGACCCATTAAGAACAGTTGTCACTGCAGATGCCAGTTTGTGACTTACACGTTCAACACTGGTATTTTCAGCTGTAATATTTAGTTTAAGACATCAGTTATTTCCGCTTTTAAGTACCAAAACATTTTTGTCACAGAATTCACTAAATAGTTTTGAAATAAGTCATCTAAAGTAAGTTGTGAATTCTGCTTTTGATTATACAGTTCTAATCCGCAATAATTAAATGAACTACCAAGCAGGCACAAATACTGTGAAAGTTACATAGCTAATAGTTTAAACATGCAGGTAAAATGTTTCACAAAAATTCTAATACGATTAGTTTTACCTAGGAAAGAAAGTCACCAATTTAAAAAAACAGAGAATAAAGTTTCTCAAAACAGAAGGAAGAAAAAGTTAAGTATGTCACTGATTTTAAGCTAATTTAATTATTCTTGAGATGCCAATTCTGAACATTAAAGGTGTAAATATGTATTAAGGGAAATTAAATCGTCCTTAGACAAATAAATCATGTAATAATGGGCACAATGGACTGGAAGGAATTGGGGGGGGAACAAAAAACAAAAACAAAAACAAAAAAACCCAACAACAACGAAAACAAAAAAAACAACTTGTCCAGAATTAATCCAGATAAACCTTTCACCTTCATAGCTGGCACCAGTCTTTCCTTCCAAAAATTGAATGTGATATGGTACTTACCTAACAGAAATCAAAGAAAGGAAAAAAAGGTGATTAAGAAAGGATAAAACCAAATCAAACAGAGAAATTTCAAGTGTTCTTTAAGAACTCAAGCTTTGTGGTTGACTATCCAGAAAGTAGAGTTACTTGAAAGATGTTTATGTGTTACAAATGCTGTAACACCTTTTTCCTTTTTCTTTGGCACCTTAAGTAATGGAGACAAACTTCAACTACAACAGCAGCCAAAATTTTTCTATAAAGCTAAAATTTTAAATCATCAACAGATTTTTGGGGGGATAAAATTAAGTCCTCTTGCACAAGAATTAAGATCTAAGTACTTATTAAAAACTTTGTATACAGAATTTTACCTCCATGTATTATATATTCCTCAATGTAACTGAAAACAACATTTGGGTATACGCATTCTGAAGAGACAATTATGAAAAAGTAATACCAAAACACTCACCAGAATTTCCTTTGTATGCAATACCATACTGACTTAATAAATCCTTAAGTTTTTTTATTTCTTCAGAAAGTTGCTTGTATTCCTTAAGAAAGAAAAGACATTTAAAATGGCTCTCCCACTCTCCAAATGCATACATAAAATGGGAGTTTATCAAATATAACAGGTCTGTGCACAGCTGTTGCAGCTTTTGACTTAGAAGATCTCAAAGATAAACTGCTTATTCCAAGAACAAGGTGCAAATTTTATAAAAAGATATATTTCTATGTTGCCAAAACAGAAGCCAGCTTTTTCCAAGTCTGAGAGTACAAATTAGGGGTGCGTTCTGTAACTATTTTGGATCTATCCTCTAATTAGCATTTCATCATGACACAAAACTGCATTCACAAGTTTGCTACAGGACCAACCTTATTTTATTTTGCATCATAATGCTACAGTCTGGAAATCTGTCATCTCCTCAACTTTTGACCTAGCAACTTCATGTTGCCACTTTCAGCAGTTTCTGTTAACTTACAGAGCCAAGGATTGCTCAGTACTTTTGTGACTCCAACCTTGTATCTGAAATCTCAAAGAAGCCCCTATTTTTTATTGTGTTTGGTTTTTACACGAATCAAGAAAGAACAGAAGATTAACTATTTAAGATTCTGTGGTTACCAAAACAGCAAACTTTATGTCAATTAAGGTATGATGAAGTCAGAAGTACAAATTATTAA